AATAAATTGTCATGGCTAGATATATGCAGGACGAAATGCGCATCCTGGATTCCACTGCTAGTCACTATCCATCTTTGCCTACAAAAGCTTGTGACTTAAGACAATATCGAGGTAATCCGCACAGGATGCACATATGCCAACAAGAGACTGATCAATTGCAATCCTAAACAGCATTTGGAAGATACAAGCAAACAATACCAAATGAATATATTCAGAGATATTTATCTTGTTTAATTTCACTGTTCATTTGTACTGAAGTCAATTTCCTCTTTTTATTTACAATGTTTTTCATTCAAATAACCAGTTCAAATGAAAATTCATTTTGAGCACTGTCATAACCAGAGAATTAGCTTGAAGATTTATTTAATTCGACGAGTCTAGATAATCGTTTAATTTATTTTGTGAGTTGATTCGTGTTGACAAGTTTGATTTTCACTGAACAAAATTTTTAGGGCCTTTTATCATATGAAAGAAATTAATATTACTTACGAGCTACGGATCTGAAAAGGATTGAAGGCTAAAACATACAATGTGCTACAGCAACCACAGACAAAAATCATTATGCCTATCAGAGACAGTAGCTAATATCAAATACTAGTAACAAACTTTATCCAAATCTAACACCTGTAATCACCGGAACTCCAGAGAAAATAAAAAGATGTAGATCATAAATTAGGATTATTGAAATTTGAAGTCCAATAGATCTATTACTATTCTGTTCAATGATAGTTCAAATACTATTCTAGGATCAACCAAAACATCTAACAGTATCGTTTAGATATATTTCAGCAGTTATGTCTTAATATCAGTATATGAAGTGTTGAGGCTATATATTTTTATTAACGCTGTTGAATACTTGCTCAGTCTAGGGGTTAAACGCTCGCGCGCGAGACTATAAACCCCGAGTTTAAATCCCGCGTGCGGGGTTGTTTGTGTACACTACCAAAGAGTCCTATACTAGGACGAAATAGCATTCCAATGCTTACAGGTTTTCCATGGTGGTCTTGCTTAAATCAACACATGAATTCAACCATTAAATTACAAATCCTCATTCTGAAAATTCATATCTGTCTAAATAACACCGGTGAATAAATTTACACTTCAGATTATGGACTGTTAAATTGATGTAATTAAAACGATCGTATACTTCATTTGTTAAATAAGTTTCGAACATCTTTTTTCGAAACATTAACTACTGATTATTGTAAAAGTACACAATATTCTTTGTTTGAATAACATTATCGACTTTTGTGTAATTTTTAAGACAGAAAAAGATTATTATATAATTTCTATATAAAGTGCTAATTTACCTTAAAAGGAAAAAAAGTTTGCCAAAATCAATAATTATTGTACATTTTTTAAAAATATACAACAAAATGGATAGATGTTTTTGTTGTTGTTGCTATGGTCATATTTATGAATAGAAATAACTTTTGTTATATTGAATTGGTGGCCTGTTTGAACATCTGGGCTATCTGTTTCTTGTCATCTAGATATTTCAACAAGTTATCTATTTTTGTTTATTTTAATACATTATTATGGCTACTAATTGCATAATCTATTCAGGTGCGTTTCTGAAGTGTTTAAAACCTTTCGTTGTACAAAATACAAAAGGTCTAATCAGTGATATTGTGGCTGATGACAATATGTAGCGAAAAGAATATATATTATTTAGATGTCGATCCTTGAACTGCTAACATCTTAACTGGCGATCACTTAATATTTATCGTCAGGATCGATGAAGAACTAAGACACGGTAACTTGTTGAAATACTTTGTGCTGAGAATTCTATATTGTATCAAGCTAATAATAATAGAAATAAAGAAATTACTTTTTTTTTTAGCGTTTCATTGTAGAATATGATGTATGTTTTATATCTGAAGTGGTAAATTATTCAGACTAAATGTTCATGTTGGTTGATTATGTAATTTGTCAACAGATATGTCTAATATATGTAACATATCAGGGATATGTTTCTAACAGACATTCAAATGAATGCATATAATAATATCTCTTTGAATTGACTTGGTATTGTTTGTTTGAATCTTTCCATTGATGTTTAGGACTGCAATGGATCAGTCTCTTGTTGGCATATATGCATAATGTGCGTATTGCCTTGATATAGCCTTAATTTACAGGCACTATATGCAAAGATGGATAATGACTAGCAGTGGAAACCAGGATGTGCGTTTCGTCTTATTTGTGACTCGTCAGTGGGATGTACCTGCATCTCAGAGTTGATGTTCCCTCTGGGGCTCGAAGTCAGTACTGTTCGTTTTCAAACGCCATCGCGTTATTCACTTAGCTACTGAGTCCAAATAGGATGAAACGCGCGTCCTGGATTCCGCTGCTAGCCACTATCTATCATTGCATACAATATTGGTTTGAATTATCAAACACATTAGCATTCAACATTGAAAATAAAAGGATAACGTAGTAATTCAGTATGTTGGTTAGATGTGAACGAATGAAAATGGCCAAGTTGAATCAATAGAAACGAACAGAAAAAAATGATAAGAATAATTAATTAGGTATCAATACTATCTGCATTGACCTTGACATTAATAGTAAGATTCTTAATACGAAAGTAAATGTAATGCATAAATTGTTATGTAATATGTAAGTATATGATCCATTTTTCTTTCCATATAATTATTGTTTCTGGAAAATTTACGTTACTTTTCTTTGATCTTCTAAAGTTTATTCTTAGATGACCACGTTAGCTAGTTTTAATGTGCGTTCTGTGTCTGGTTGCTTACACTTATATCTGCAATAAATTAAGAACATTTTCAGTCACCCTAAATTATACATTACGAATACCTGTCTCAATGTATCTATCTCAATGCATCATATAAGTTGATAACCTCAATCGAATTCTGTTACTAGTACTAATTAGTGACTCATTTCCCAATGAATAATTCGCAGTTTCAATAAAAGGTATTAATCTATAGATTTATTCAAGTCTTTAGTGAGACAGCATCCGAATGATAACATAAAGTAGTGATCCCTATATATCATGAATGTAAAAAACAGTTGAATAATGAATATGATTGGACTGTTCCCTATAAATTAAATATACATTTCTTGTTTAAAAAGCAGTGAGTTCGAACTTTTCTTTCTTCTGAATACTGCTAAGTTATACAAAACTAGAACTAAGTTATTAAATATATATATAATGTTCAGTTTCTGTTGTATTTAATGGAAACTAAGTAAACTAAAGGTTCATAATATCTAAGAAACTTTATATAGTTAGATCTGATCATTCCTTCGACTAAAAATTATATCTAAGAAAGGTAGATGGTTATTCCTCCTGTTGAGAAGACCTCAGATTACCTAGGTTTTCTCTTGACAAATGTTAATTCTTTCGTAAAAGATAACAGTGACAACGTTTTGTTAATTAACATATCCTCACTGAACTTCGATATCGTTTAACCGATTCTTCTCATGATTAGTTTGTTAATTTCACTATGTCTCAATGTCATGTTTTGTTGCTATATATACAGAGTTATCCTACTACAGATTTTTTTCTTAGGTATCAAACTTCTGAATTACCGAATTCTTTCTGACATCAGTCGCGTTAAGAACTGTTGTTGAATTGTTGTGTCAGTCGTTCGGTTTATCTAGTCCGTGCAAGTTCACTTCAGCATTAAAAGATCCATTCAGGTACTTGGATCACACAATTTTTAAGAAATTTAAATTCCTTATCTTTGTTACATTCGGACTGAGCAGTTTTACACTTGTTTGTCAACATTAAACTTTTATTCAACTTTCTTACTTGTTCTTTTGTTTTTATCATGAATGTATTACAGAAACCAATGGATATAATATGTTGGATCACGTTTCTGGCTATACAGCCAGTACACAAACATGAAGATTAAGTTTTTAAGCTTTTTTCTGCTATTCACTGGTAACAACTCCGAAAAATTTTGAGACATTCATTCGTTATTTATTCTAGTCTGAAACAATAAGAAAGTTTTTTCAGTAATGTGTGAATGATCGTTTGAAATTAGTAAAACTTTGGACTTAGCCATTCACCTAATAATCCACTCTTTAGTATAGCCAGTTCATCCAGCTTTTAATACAATGGTGTTGCCTTTGAGAAAATTGAGACACTTAGTTAATTATGTAATAACGACCAAATCATGTTAAAATTAAATACAATGCAATTGTCCCGATAAATATTCAAACAATGACTTTCACTTAATGTTGTTTGCTTGTATCATCCGATTGTTGTTTAGGATTGCAATTGATCAGTCTCTTGTTGGCATACGTGCATTCTGTGCGGATTACCTCGATATTGTCTTAAGTCACAAGCTTTTGTAGGCAAAGATGGATAGTGACTAGCAGTGGAATCCAGGACGTTTATTCCGTATAATCCTGAGTAACTCTTATACATCTTTGTGATACATAATACATTACTAAGTCATATGATACGTTATGTACCAATATTTCTAATGTTTCATGTAAACCACATTATTTGATTCCGAAATCCAAATATGTAAACGATACTCATTATTTGAGCTGATTCAGTCACGGTCACAAATTTAGGGAGAAATAAATAGGGAGTAGATTTTGGTTACTTGCAGGTTCACAAAACATTCCACATGATAAGATCAGTTTTCAAACATCATGAAGTAGTTGGAATGCTGTAATCAGTTTTTTTAATTATTGTGGATGTTAGGCTGTTTAAATCGTAAAGTAGAAAGTCCAAGACCTACATCTCATGTTGGAGCTCATTAGATAAGTATATCTTCAATTTACAGGAACCTGATGTTCTCCATGAGATTGAAAAGTTTTTTACTTAGTAGAACAGCTAGAATGTATTCTATTTTCATTATTTTAATCGTTAATTTTGAATTTCAAACATTTAGGATGAATTTCAAATACAAGCTACTTATTTACATTGAGCATGAACAACCTAGAAAAATACAACTGAATACTTATAATTTGTCGTTATAAATTCTAAACTGTTATTGAAATTTTCTCTTATCCTCTCTTAGAGTATGGTCATTCAATCAGCGAAACGTACTGGTCCCGATTCAACGAAAAGTATCGTCTTTTCTTCTTTACTATCAACCATATTACCGTTCTGTTTTGTGATACCGGCTATTGTCATCAATGAGAAAACTTATCCAAATGAATGTATACATGAACAGCATGTCGCTAAAATGTTGAATAATGAAGTAGATGAATCAATATGTACAAAAAGTCAAAAATATTAAGTTATTTGACACCAGGATTTTGTCCACCAGAGGATTGTACAAGACCATGGTTTACAATAAATGAAGCATTTTTCTTATGGTTTCTGGCGCCAACTACAGTTTTATTAGCATTCAACTGTCTTGTATTGATCATTGTTGGAACTCACATATGGTTTCTCAGTCAAAATGAATTAAATGTATCAACAGGTATAGGAAGTGAATCAGGCACAAATGATTTTCCGAAACAAAGTAGAAAATGTTGAAAATATGTTTTAATCTATCGATTATTTTAGGAATTGTATGGATATTTCAAATTTTAGCCAGTCTTTTACCTGATGTCCCATTAATTGGACGTGCAGCTAGCTTAGTTAGTAGTGCTCAAGGAGCTGCTCTCACATTTACAACTACTAGCAATCTGAAAAGAAAAGCAATGACAACATGTGAATGGACAAGTATTTTCACGTTAAGTACCAGTAATACAAGTGGTACTAATAGAAATTTTCGTAATTGGATTAAACCAGAAAAACTGAAGGCTACTTCATCAGATAAGGCTGACTCAAATTTACAATCTACAAAATGCGACGATAATTAATTTCCTTATCATATTTATCCAATGACCAAAGTTTGAAAAAATAATTTAATGTTATTTATCTACTTGTAATTATTCAGTAGCATGATACGACAGTATCTCATTTTGTGCGATGTTTCACATTTGCTTTTTTTTCTGTGCTATAATAATTTGTGCGTAAAACATAATCATTACAGTTTATCATATTTTTTGCAGAACAGACAAATGAATTTCTGTTCTAATGATAAGTGTTTCCATTCAATTATAATTTCATAACATTTACGATTTTATTTCCACACACAAACTTTGTATTACAGTTTTCAAGGTTTAAAATTGCAAACTTACATTTCTTTTGACGGTAACTTTTGACTGTAACTCAGTTTTTTGGATCGGTCGGAGTTAGACACTAACACCGTTGGATGTCGGCTCAGGGGTTAGGAGTTTAGGTGTTCATGAGTGAGAATGATAGGTCCTGGGTTTGAATTTTGCGAGACGCACACTGATGAGGAGTCCTGAAGTAGGACGAAACAGCCGTCAAGTGCTTCCAGTTTTTCCATGGTGGTTTAGCTTCAATTAACTCATGACGTCAAGTGTTAAATCTACTATCATATCCACAAAAATCCCTTATGAACTTGGTAAATCTTAAAAAAAATTTCAAGCCACACTTGATAAGTACCACTTTGACCAAAATCCGACGAAGTCAAAATGAAAAAAAAGCGGCAGGAAAGTAAAAGAAAAATGCTCTTGGGTTAGTTAGAATAATAACCATAGTACATCTTGAAAAATAGAATTAGATCATCATTAAGGATTAGACAAACCCCACACATATATAATAATTACATATAGCGAAACAATGAAGTTTTACATGTCATTTTTGAAATCAAATGACTGGGCTTGTCTCGAATTATAGTATTGTTATTGAAAACAAACTATAAAGTACGTTGTTAATAAGATATACTGACGCGAATTAGAAAACCATTGAAAGCAGTAAACACAGGATAGTTATTTTATCCTGAAGTAGAATTTTTTAACAGTCAATAATCATGACACCACCTTGGATGGAATCTTCAAATTTCAGGTATCGAAGCAAGTGCTTAACATTTCAACTAATAAACTAACATTCGATAGTTTATATACTTAACTCCAGCCGATTCTCGATATTGCTCAGTAATCTGTCTAAACAATAAGTAATAGAAAACTTGAATCACAGTGTCTGGGGATTAATTGCAACATTAATCAGGATAAAGTCGTGTCCTTCAACCAGTCAGACAAGAAAAAGTCAGAAAGCATACAATAAGTCAGATACAGTGTACTGCTTCCCAAACAGTAATATCAATAAATAGTGAAAATCAAAAAGAATACTGAATTTCAAAAAATCAAAGAAATCGTTCAAGATAAATAAAGATTGATTAAATATTCTGAACAGAGAAACCTAGTGAATAAAGAACATTGATACTCTAAATATAATAATCGACCGAACATATATATATATATATATATATATATATATATATATATATATATATATATATATATATATCGATGTAGTTATTGGTCTGGTTGAGACTATAATTTATGGATGGCCTTCGAGCAACGCTAAAGTAGTCCACCTACTGATTAGGGCTAAACGAGGGTTTTAAAACTATGTGAAGGATAAGGATTGTGATTTACAGTTGATGGTTAGAGACAGGGATTAGATTTAGGGTTTTCATCACAAATTGACATTAGCTAAGATATCAAGATGCTTTTTGGCTATCCTAAATCTGATTGGTTCGTCCATAAATTATAGTCTCATCGTGATCTGTCAGAACAAAACATAGAAATATCGAAATTAACTTGAATTACTCACTATTAATAAGTAGTAAGCATTAAAAAGCACAAAAAGAAATACACATGAATAATAAGTTTGAGACAAACAGATTGAGGACTTTAAATCATTTTAATCTGACACATTAATTTCATTTTAAATATCAACCTAAAAGAAAAACAACTTGAGGTTAATAATTTCATAATCTAAATAATCTAAAATTAGATACAAGTAAAAAGGTATACAATTGATGAACTTTGAATTCTTACATCAAAAACCATTATCAGTAAATTGCCTTCCATTAAAATAGAAATCAAATAAACAAGGATATTAAACTTGCCCTAGATAAGTTGACAGATATTATGTTAAAATTTGTTATGGGTGACTAAACAGATCATTTCCTTTTCTTTTTAATAGATGTCATTTACTACTTTATTACTTATATTCAATTATACTGTAGACTAGTAAGCTAATTCAATTCTAATTAACTTAATTTCACTTTAGTTATTTATTTCAACATATTGATACTTAGATGATTTAAGAATTTAAATTTCAATTCATCCGTGAAATGTCCCAAATTTCTAATAGAAGCTCAAATCAATTTGAATTTTCTAGTTTAAAATAAATGATCAATGTATAATGAATAGTATACTTTATCCTAGAACCATTTAGACATATTCTTGGGTATACTGTTGACAGATATTTAATCCTACTCAAGTTTAATATCTTAAACAGACTCGTTGAGTCTGCTTCTTGTCCGTGTTTAGCGATCGAAATAGAAATCATTTTTCTTCTTGAAGGTGTAGGTCCTTGAGAATATGTTCAATTAACAGAGTAGAACCCTTATCTTCCTCTCCTTTCAACGTAAGAGTCAGAACATACATATAAATTAATTTACAGAGTTGAAGGTGACACACGATGGATATTTATCTACTCTGGTTTGCATTATTGAATATAGCATTGAACATAATAAAGCCATTTTCTCAGCTAGGACTATGATTTGTAAGGCTCCATTCAGTTTTTAGTTAATTTTATTCATGATTTACTCGCCTTAGAATGATAATTGATGGAAGAGGTTAATTTGATCTGATGAGTAGATGAATGAATATGAAACGTAAAATAATTGATATATCGAACTACTTATGAGATAAATTCAAAAAATCTTTTTTTTTTCATAAACGAAACTGAAGAATCTTATTATTATCAAAAAGATACGATTACTTTATTTGTAAATTCTAGTGTATTAAGGTCATTATTATTTTTTTAATGACCTGAATACTTCCTAGATAAGTTGAACATGTTTGATAGATGTTATATCTAAAGTTTAGATTCTTGATATATCGCGTACAACTTAAGCCCCAGAACGCTAGAAGCCTCTAAGTCGCAAATGAGAAAACAGAAGACTTGTGAGAAGGAATGCTATTCTAAACAGTGTCAAATATGGTACAACACTCTCAGGCATTTATCGGTTTTAGTCAAAGTGAATTCATCATTATAGTCATCCAATCCGCATACAATGGTTTTAGCATTTATCCAATAGGGAATGTTCTTCCAAAAGATGACTAGATGGAATGTCTTCAGCTCTTTATAAGTTTCTTAGAGCTTCCTCGAGTTTATCCATGGGCCGTCCTCACAATAAATATTTATGCAACTGACTACATTCAATCTCAATTTTCATCATTTCATTATCAGGATTTTTATTAGAAAAAGTCTGAGATTTTGCTCTGTTATTAAAAAATCTAAATTAGAAAAAACTCATTAATAAAAATAATCATCATAGTACAAATCACAAAATGATTTTAGCTAGACCACCATTTAGAACCAGGGAACATCTGCCAGCTACTTTTTTCTAGTATGAGACTTTTCAAACAATTGGTCCCTTTGATAAATTTCGATCATACAATGAGAAGACGATTGTTATGATAGAGGCAGCCTGCTTGAATATATGGGCTACCTGTTTCCTGCCATCTAGAGATTCCAACAAGTTATCTCGTTTCCTGTTCGTTTCAACACACCATTGTGTCAATTAATTGTACAAACTATTCAGATACATTTGTGAAAATTTCAAGACCTTTCATTGTACAAGTCAGGAAAGGGCACAATCAGAGACATTGTGGTTGCTGGCAATATACACCCAAAAGAATATACATCATCCCGATGTCGACTCCTGAACTGCTAACATCTAAGTGGCGATCACTCAATATTTATCGTCAGGATCGATCAAGAAATAAGAAATGGAAACTTATCGAAGTACTCTGTACTGAGAATTCAATATAGTACCAAAAATCTAATATTGAACGAAACCACTCATAATAATAATAATAAAGATGATCAGAATGATGTGATATATTTGCGCAATACATTTCCAACAATCTGACCACACATATACATGTTAAGACATTTTTATAACAAAACTCAAAGGTCAACTAGACAGAGTGAATGTAAGTCTTAACACAGAAAAATAAAGTACACAAAAACAATATGATAACCACTCTGCATAATAAACCAGTATTACCAGGGTAGGTTAAGGGTAAGAATAAATTGTTTTTGAACACATAAAGGGGGTTTCAGTTTCCGTATAGCCAAGGCTTCATTAAACCTTAGTATAGGCTTTTGTACAACACTACAAAGTCTGAGTTGATATCAATCTTAGGACCAAACTCAACCAAATATTTCGCAATTGAAGAAGATGTCTGTCTATCCGGTTATCTTATTCGACTGTTGGAATCCATTTGTTTCTGCAGCCATTTGAGTGTGTGTTCCGCCACCCTTACTTGCAGATCACGATTGCTCCTCACTATGTACGTGCTTCTGCACATATATGTGAATTGATAAACACAGTGGGATGTGACACAATCATTTACGTGCTGTTTGGGTTTTTGGTGAAACGTATACCTTGGCTTTTCAATAATTATAACTTGAGCTGCATAACATGTCTTGTTAATGGCCAATTCATTATCCAGAGTGGTTATCACATTGTTTTTGCGTATTTTATTTTTCTTTATTACGACTTATCTGGACTCGAGTGTGCGACCGCCCAATGGTGTACATCCACGATCACACTATGAGGAATTAAACGCAGGGCCTCCTACCTTGTCCCAAACCCTTGACCTCCAAACCATCAGGCCAACATCCATCAGCCTATATGTCTAACTTCAGTCTTTTGATGATATTGTGAGACCACCTTCCATTGCCTACGGTAGATAACCAACTACTTCACGG